CAAAGGCTAAAAATTTTGTGGCTGTGGAGGGGAAAAAAGTAAGGGATGGGTCATAGGGACTTTTTTTAGCTGGTTACACATGCATTTTCCCCCCCCTGTGAAAAAACCTAATGGAAAAAAAAAAATTGGACCCTTTGTGCCTCCCGGGATTAGACAAGGTCCTGGTCACCCCCCAGACTTGGCAGAGCGATTTTGGGGACTGAGCTTCTTTTGGGGAAGTTTTTGCTTCTAATACCCTTTCTCCTGCAGCCATGGACCCGCAGGTCATTTAAACTTTTTAAAAAATCTACACAAAAAGCTATGTTTAAAAGTGTTTGAAGTGACCTCGACCTCATTGCTTAAGAGATTTTTGGAAAGTTTTTTTTATCCCCATTGTTTTAAACCTTTTAGGTAAGGCTGGGAGGGAGTGATAAGAGGACCTTGAATCTCTTGGAAGAAACTGTGGCCAAATGAGTAGACAAAAGGATTTTTAAGGGTTTTGAGGTTAACCCCTGAGAAGGTTTTGCCAGTTTGGAATCAATTGTGGCATTTGGGGAAGTCCTTGGGGTTGGAGGTTACTGGAGAGAATGTGGAAAAGTTGGTGAAGGGAACAATGAAAACTAAAAACCCTGTGAGCTGCAAGACATCTTAACGCAAGAGGCCAGACCTGATGAAACTGCTTCGGAAGAGGGGAAAGAAAAATTGAACAAATTGTCTACTTCAAAGATTAAGGAAATGTGTGCAATGTGGCTTAAATTGCAAACCTTTATGGATGAAAATTACCCTCACACAGCTATTGCAAGCCCTGCTGGTGACTATTACAATGACAATGTTGTGAACCACTTTAGACAAATCATAAAGGAACGAGAGGCACAGAGCTTTATAGACAGATATGTTGTGCGACAGAGGTCCAATGACCCTCAAGCTGGTCCTAGTGGCATTAAAAGAAGAAGGGAAGTAACCCCGGAAAAGGACTTGATACCTCAAGTCCTAATGGAAGGGGATTCCCCTTCTAAACAATAACAATTTCCAAACTCTCCCCTCCTCCCATCCCATCAATCATCACCAGATCTTCAATAAAGGTAAGTGTCATGTATTCTATTCGTAGTAGAGTATTAACTGTGCATGTCTTCTTCAGTTTGTGTGCATTAAAATTAATATTTCATGTGGTAAAATTTTTTTTTTTCATACTTTGGGGCGTCAGGAACAGATTAATTTGATTTCCATTATTTCTTATGGGGAAAATTAATTCGCCTTATGATAATTTCGGCATACGATGAGCTCTCAGGAACGGATTAATATCGTAAGGCGGGGGTCCACTGTATATCTTTTGTCTTATATAAATTAGATTCACTTATAATTAATAATCTACTATACAGCTATGATATAATTCTTAGTGTTAAGTAGTCATTAAGCCAATAATGTTAATTAAGTCAGCCCATAATACCTAGGCATAATAGAGGCTCTCTTTGCATTGCATCCCATTATTGTAAATACATAATCTCAATGTACTACGTATTTTCAAAGACATAAATAAATAAATAAATAAATAAATAAAATAAATAAATAAATTAAATAAATAAATAAATAAATAAATAAATAAATAAAATAAATAAATAAATAAATAAAACAATAAAATAAAATCATTGCAAAATGTGATGCTGATATTCAGTGGTAAGGTTCGACTTTTGTCGGAACCAAGCTCAGTCCTAAGTCGAATGGTAGGTGTATTTTGTTTAGAAATATGTCTACCCATTCATTGATACCAACAGCATTGGAAAATTCTGTAGGCCAGTCAATTGAGCTTAGTTCTGCAGTGAAGTTACTTACTGAGGCCTCATAATGCCTTCTCAGCCATCTATGTCTTCTCAGACATCTACAGTGCATCTCAGCCTTTTCTTTGTTACTAGCAGTAGGTTCATTTGAGTTACATTTAAGTAAACCTATCTTTCTCTAAATCTTATTTTTATGTATGTGAAAGAAACCTTTGAGCTACCCTTCCTTTTCTTGGATTAAATCTGATTGCCCCTTATTTCCCAGGTTGTACAGGGTTTAGCAATAACCGCATGAAATAAATTAATAATATAGGTACTGTACTAATACAAAACTGTCACTGGGAAATTATGTATGATTGATTGAACTGAAGAAGGCATAAAGTATTCTATACTAGTTAATTATAAACTAGTTTTCAAAAAATCACTAGAGAAATGCAATAAAATCCGTTTAACATATATTAGGCCATAACTGTAATAACCAAATTGAAAAGGTCAAAAGAAGAATTACAAAATCGGTACCAGTTAGAGTGAATGGATGATAACAATAAAGATGCCCACACAGGCTGATAGGAGGAAAAGAAAAGATATAACAACACCATATAAGGTTAGAAAAGAACAGGAAAGAATAAAGATTTTTTGTACTTTCAGCAAGGATAAAAGATTACGAAAGTAAATCAAGAAAAAATGGAACCAAAGGAATGATGTAATAATTTCTTACAGATCATGGTGCAAGAGTGGAATAAACTGAAAGAGAAAGTAGTTAAAGTTGTAACTTTTGGAAATTAAAAAAAAAAAAATGGATGAACATATTAATAAAGATGGGACATCATAAGCCTAGCTCTGCTCCTGTAGGTACAAATGGGTAATAACATGTAGGTAATTTCAAGATACACCATATTAAAAAACTGAAATGCTGTATTTAAATTTTTCAACATATCACTGAACCCTCGATTTAAATGACTAATATGAGGGGGTGTCTGTTAATTTGCACTCTCTTTAAAGCTAGTTGTTCATGACCATATTAATAATGGACAATTTATGACAACAGAATTATGTTCATTAGATCCAGAACTGTCCATAACAATATTAGATACCTCTGATTTAGTGAATGTTGTCAATTAAATCTGAAATAAATTTACCCAGCAGACTAGAACAATAAAGGAAAATTCTGGATTTAAAAGATTCTGTTCATTGTTTCTGGATGGTGACTGGCCACAGATTTTTTTTTTTTTTTTTCAACAAGTCGGCCGTCTCCCACCGAGGCAGGGTGACCCAAAAAAGAAAGAAAATCCCCAAAAAGAAAATACTTTCATCATCATTCAACACTTTCACCACAATCGCACATTATCACTGTTTTTGCAGAGGTGCTCAGAATACAACGGTTTAGAAACATACACATATAAAGATACACAACATATCCCTCCAAACTGCCAATATCCCAAACCCCTCCTTTAAAGTGCAGGCATTGTACTTCCCATTTCCAGGACTCAAGTCCGACTATATGGAAATAACCGGTTTCCCTGAATCCCTTCACTAAATATTACCCTGCTCACACTCCAACAGATCGTCAGGTCCCAAGTACCATTCGTCTCCATTCACTCCTATCTAACATGCTCACGCACGCTTGCTGGAAGTCCAAGCCCCTTGCCCACAAAACCTCCTTTACCCCCTCTCTCCAACCCTTTCGAGGACGACCCCTACCCCGCCTTCCTTCCCCTATAGATTTATATGCTTTCCATGTCATTCTACTTTGATCCATTCTCTCTAAATGACCAAACCACCTCAACAACCCCTCTTCTGCCCTCTGACTAATACTTTTATTAACTCCACACCTTTTCCTAATTTCCACACTCCGAATTTTCTGCATAATATTTACACCACACATTGCCCTTAAACAGGACATCTCCACTGCCTCCAACCATCTCCTCGCTGCTGCATTTACCACCCAAGCTTCACACCCATATAAGAGTGTTGGTACTACTATACTTTCATACATTCCCTTCTTTGCCTCCATAGATAACGTTTTTTGACTCCACATATACCTCAACGCACCACTCACCTTTTTTCCCTCATCAATTCTATGATTAACCTCATCCTTCATAAATCCATCCGCCGACACGTCAACTCCCAAGTATCTGAAAACATTCACTTCTTCCATACTCCTCCTCCCCAATTTGATATCCAATTTTTCTTTATCTAAATCATTTGATACCCTCATCACCTTACTCTTTTCTATGTTCACTTTCAACTTTCTACCTTTACACACATTCCCAAACTCATCCACTAAACTTTGCAATTTTTCTTTAGAATCTCCCATAAGCACAGTATCATCAGCAAAAAGTAACTGTGTCAATTCCCATTTTGAATTTGATTCCCAAAATTTAATCCCACCATCTCCCGAACACCCTAGCATTTACTTCCTTTACAACCCCATCTATAAATATATTAAACAACCATGGTGACATTACACATCCCTGTCTAAGACCTACTTTTACCGGGAAGTAGTCTCCCTCTCTTCTACACACCCTAACCTGAGCCTCACTATCCTCATAAAAACTCTTTACAGCATTTAATAACTTACCACCTATTCCATATACTTGCAACATCTGCCACATTGCTCCTCTATCCACTCTATCATATGCCTTTTCTAAATCCATAAATGCAATAAAAACTTCCCTACCTTTATCTAAATACTGTTCACATATATGCTTCAATGTAAACACTTGATCTACACATCCCCTACCCACTCTGAAACCTCCTTGCTCATCCGCAATCCTACATTCTGTCTTACCTCTAATTCTTTCAATTACAGTGGACCCCCGGTTAACGATATTTTTTCTCTCCAGAAGTATGTTCAGGTGCCAGTACTGACCGAATTTGTTCCCATAAGGAATATTGTGAAGTAGATTAGTCCATTTCAGACCCCCAAACATACACGTACAAACGCACTTACATAAATACACTTACATAATTGGTCGCATTCGGAGGTGATTGTTATGCGGGGGTCCACTGTATAACCCTACCTTACACTTTTCCTGGCCACAGATATTGTCTGTAAACTCCAAAATCCATTAAAACAGGGTTTATTAAACTGAGGTTTACTGTATAGTGTGATTGTAAGGTATCTGTCCATTTCAGAGCATGTAGACAATCAATACAATTGATATTTAGGTGATCATGATCACCAGCACTATAAATAAGAAGTACTATATGAGTATGTACTAGTACATGTATATAGATGCTCACAAGATCATCAGCAACGATGATGACAATATTTGGACGAGGGGGTTCAGCCCCCAAAGACGTTTGCAGCAGGAGCAGGGTTCCTACAAGCAACAGATGAAAAGTAGGCAGGGTCATCATCATATCCACCTGCCAACAACAAAAATATATTTAATGAAAGGTGTATGATAATGACATTAAAACATTTAGTTCCCTTCAAAGTAGGTGCCTTGCTGCACAGTATTTATTTATTTCCAATTTCCAATTTGAGCACACATACAGAGGTACAAAAAAATACAGATAAGAGCAGTATGCCAAAGCCACTTATACTATGCATAGCATTACGGGCTGGCTTAAAATTAACTTAAGATTAACTAAGCAATGATGAAATCAGTGATAAAACATTAATGTAAACAGATTACTATAAAGCACAAGTGAGTATTACAAAGACAGGTCATATGGTTGCATTCAGTTAGGTAGTGATTCTGTTAGGTAGTGTATTTAAAAAATAATAAAGTTAGATTCGGTTTTAGGTTTAACATTTATGTGATATAATTGTAAGAAACATTTAAGATATACAATTTATAAGGTTCAGTTATTCAGTATTTATTTGGTTTTGGGTGAGTAAGTGATCTTTGAGAAGAGACTTGAATTTATAAACAGGTAGTGTTTCTTTTATATTTACAGGTAATGAATTCCAGATTTTAGGGCCTTTTATGTGCATTGAGTTTTTGCATAGTGTGAGATGGACACGAGGAACATCAAAGAGTGATCTGTGCCTTGTGTTATGGTCATGTGTTCTGTTGAGGTTGGCAAGGAGATGTTTGAGGGGAGGGTTAATATCAGAGTTAAGTGTTCTATGTATGTAATAGGTGCAGTAATAAGTATGGATGTTTTGTATGGTGAGTAGGTTTAGTGTATTGAATATTGGTGGAGTGTGCTGCCTGTAGTGAGAATTTGTTATCATTCTAACTGCAGCCTTTTGTTGAGTAATTAGTGGTCTGAGATGGTTAATTGTTGTTGAGCCCCATGCACAAATTCCATAGGTGAGATAGGGGTAAATAAGAGAGTGATATAGGGCCAGGAGGGCTGACTGTGGAACATAGTACCGTATCTTCGATAGTATGCCTACAGTCTTGGAAATTTTCTTAGAAATTTGTTGTATATGTGTATGAAATTTGAGTCTATTATCAAGGCGGATTCCTAAGAATTTTCCCTCTGTTAGTTTTGTGATAGGTGATCCGTTTATCATTATGTTAAGAGGGACATCTGTAGCTCTGTTACCAAACTGAATGATATTAATCATAAAATATGAAGGATATGACTAACATTATCATCTGTTCTAAAGGCATATTATGCAAGAGACAATGAACTATTTCTGCATCTTGGGGAAACTGAATTTATAATGCATGTGAAAAACTACAAAAAGTTAATTTTATTGTGATAAAGAATGATGAATGATCATAATTTTAACTAGAAATTTTCTGACATATTATATAAATGCAATAAAAATGATAATGCCGGGATAAAGCATTAAGAGCTGTTCAGAATAAGATGCTGCAGCTTATCTAGTTTTGGCTGCATAGGAGTTTTCAACAATTAATTTTTGTAGATTAAAAGCTGTTATCTTACCTCAGCTCCTTTTAAAGCCTGGCACTATTAACTTACAGGTAAATATAGACAGCAGGTGTAAAAGTTGCCTATATGTGTCACTCCACCTAGGGATCATATTTAGATCTTATCATTTTTAAAAAAAAAAAATTGATTAACCAGCCAACACTTCATCAGATTCACCAAGTTCATAACAATTTGTGCCCAAACTTATGGATCTCAAATTAAGTTAGTTACATTGATTAACTTTATTAGGTTAACCTATGTTAAATCTACATAATGAACTCAATGTGTACCAGACATAATTTTGGGGAATACAGTGGAAGTTCGGCTTACAAATTTAATCCGTTCCATGGACTTGTTCGTATCCTGATTTGTTCATATGCTGGGTCAATTTTCCTCATTTAAATTAACTAAAGTGCAATTAATTCGTTCCAGGTGAATTCCTGCTCTCAGGAGGCATGACAAAATAACCCTAATATCAGCTCTATGGCTTATTTATCTGTCACAATTCACCTAATATGACATAATAAACAATATGAATAACATAAAAACCTGATATACACTCTAGAATGAATAAAATATGTCATAATGTGGACAGCGGAGGGAGGATTATAGTCGCGAGAGTGGTCACACATTCTCACCATGAAAACGTCAGAGGAGTTATATGAGAAAACAGAGTTTGTGAGGTTAACTGAATTAGATCTGGTGTACTATTAGATCTTATTGTACTATAAAGTATTATTATATTATTATTATTATATGTATTACTATTATTTTATTATTACAGTATTACATAGTAGTATTATATTATACATAATCATTATTATGTATTATCATTATTACTAGTATGTACATATTATAATAATAATAATAATAATTATTATTATTATTAATTTAGGGACCTGGAGCACAGATCCAATTCCCTAGATCAAGAGCCCCTCACCACATACGTACTACTACTACTACTACTAATAATAATAATCATTATTATTATAACAATAATAATAATACAATAGTAATAATAATAACAGTAAGGAGAAACTTCAAAAGGCTGCCAGTAGTTGGTGCCACCATCAGCAAAACATTGGTAACCACTACTAGTACACTTTTCACCTGTCTAGACTTTAGTAGTCTATTAGTATTAGGTTAAGTCTGCCTGAAATGCTTCAGCATGATAATGGCTTTCTTTGCTCCAATCATATTATGATATGTAAACACACATTGCAACCTTTGCAAATAAATACATATTTTATTTATTTATTTATTTATTTAAGGAACCTCCCTTGAGGGGGAAGAAGTTCCCATCCTCAAATTTCGTTCGTATCCGGAAGCAAAAAATCGACCGAACGACAGTTTGTATCCTGAAAAATTCGCATGGTGGGACGTTTGTAAGCTGAGGTTCCACTGTACAGTGGAACCCCGGATTTCGTATGGTGTTGATATCGTACAATTTGGATTTCGACCACTTTTTTTGGCGAAATTTTACCCCAGGTTTCATACCTCTGCTCGGAAATTGTCCATATCAGACGCGTCCACCCACCCAAGACACAGCCGCTCACACATATGTGACTCAGAGTGCCTCTGTCACTTGTTCAGTGAGTAATACTCTGCGTTTTCATCCGAAACACTGGTGGTAGAGGGTGGTAGTGATGGTGGTAGAGAGTGGTAGTGATGGTGGTAGAGGGTGGCAGTGGTTGTGATGGTGGTAGAGGGTGGTAGTGATGGTGGTAGAGGGTGGTAGTGATGGTGGTAAAGGGTGGTAGTGATGGTAGTAGAGGGTGGTTGTGGTTGTCATGGTGTCATGTGTGGGGGGGGGGTTCGATTACGTGGATTGGGTAATAACACTCACGTTGGATGTTCTAGTATGTATATTGGAGGGTAAATATGGGGAGCACCATGCCTGGCCTGCCTCTCTGCTAACACTCTCTAAGACTGACCCACGAATTGGGTCCTAGGGGAGAGCGGCATTCAAAAACATGCTATGGTCAGCAGCAACATGAATAACAGTCAGTGATTCATGCAGACGGTTGGTAGTGAGTCATACTACTGGTAACTGGTCACTGGTAACTGGTACTACTGGGAACTGATACTACTGAGAAGGTGGTAGAGGGTGGTAGTGATGGTGGTAGAAGGTGGTAGTGATGGTGGTAGAGGGTGGTAGTGATGGTTGTAGAAGGTGATAGTGATGGTGGTAGAGGGTGGTAGCAATGGTGGTAGAGGGTTGCAGTGATGGTGGTAGAGGGTGGTAGTGATGGTTGTAGAGGGTGGTAGTGATGGTGGTAGAGGGTGGTAGTGATGGTTGTAGAAGGTGATAGTGATGGTGGTAGAGGGTGGTAGCAATGGTGGTAGAGGGTTGCAGTGATGGTGGTAGAGGGTGGTAGTGATGGTTGTAGAGGGTGGTAGTGATGGTGGTAGAGGGTGGTAGTGATGGTGGTAGAGGATGGCAGTGATGGTGGTAGAGGGTGGTAGTGATGGTGGCAGAGGGTGGTAGTGGTGGTAGAGGGTGGTAGTGATGGTGGCAGAGGGTGGTAGTGGTGGTAGAGGATGGTAGTGATGGTGGTAGAGGGTGGTAGTGGTTGTGATGGTGGTAGAGGGTGGTAGTGATGGTAGTAGAGGGTGGTTGTAGTTGTCATGGTGGTAGAGGGTGGTAGTGATGTTGGTAGAGGATGGCAGTGATGGTGGTAGAGGGTGGTAGTGATGGTGGCAGAGGGTGGTAGTGGTGGTATAGGGTGGTAGAGATGGTGGCAGAGGGTGGTAGTGGTGGTAGAGGGTGGTAGTGATGGTGGTAGAGGGTGGTAGTGGTTGTGATGGTGGCAGAGGGTGGTAGTGGTTGTGATGGTGGTAGAGGGTGGTAGTGATGGTGGCAGACGTTGGTAGTGGTGGTAGAGGGTGGTAGTGATGGTGGTAGAGGGTGGTAGTGATGGTGGTAAAGGGTGATAGTGATGGTTGTAGAGGGTGATAGTGATGGTGGTAGAGGGTGGTAGTGATGGTGGTAGAGGGTGGTAGTGATGGTGGTAGAGGGTGGTAGTGATGGTGGTAGAGGGTGGTAGTGGTTGTGATGGTGGTAGAGGGTGGTAGTGATGGTAGTAGAGGGTGGTTGTAGTTATCATCTTGGTAGAGGGTGGTAGTGATGTTGGTAGAGGATGGCAGTGATGGTGTTAGTGATGGTGGCAGAGGGTGGTAGTGGTGGTAGAGGGTGGTAGTGATGGTAGAGGGTGGTAGTGATGGTGGTAAAGGGTGATAGTGATGGTTGTAGAGGGTGATAGTGATGGTGGTAGAGGGTGGTAGTGATGGTGGTAGAGGGTGGTAATGATGGTGGTAGATGGTGATAGTGATGGTTGTAGATGGTGGTAGTGATGATAAAGGGTGGCAGTGATGGTGGTAGAGGATGGCAGTGATGGTGGTAGAGGGTGGTAGTGATGGTGATAGAGGGTGATAGTGATGGTTGTAGAGGGTAGTAGTGATGGTGGTAGTGATGGTGCAAGAGGATGGAAGTGGTGGTAGAGGGTGGGAGTGATGGTGGTAGAGTGTGGTAG